ATTTTACAAATATATCGCGATGTGCTTTGTTCCCTGACATGCCCTATCCGTCCTCTCCCCTAAAATCAGGTGCCCATGGGCGTGAGGGACGCGCTTCACTCGTTCCCCAGGCGGCCCCACAAGGAATCCCTACCCTTCCAAGTTTCAATCATCATGAAATGTTGTGCTAGAAACCGGCCATAAAAGAACAAGTCTAATCAGGAGTGTGTGTGTGTGTGTATCATTGAGAAAGTTTACTCGATCATAATACGTTCTGGGAGATTTTTATAGTGACCAGCTTGCGTTGAAGTGAAGTCCGCTAGAACCTCACAGCTGCGAATTTCGACGTCTGCGAACAGCCAACCACAGATGCCGCAATGCTGGTCCTTAGCGCGGCGACGAATGGCAAGCCTGCACGCGTGAATATTTTCTGTCCACTGGCCTGACTGCTGTAAACTTGGCACTTGAACCCGGCTAACTCTCCTGTCTGTTTGTGTTCTTCCAAGTGAGACTTTATAGGTGTTAAGGCTACGAAGGTTAACCTTAACACCTACGATCTTCCAGGCCCATCGTTCCTTTAGGTGAGCAGAGAAGACAGTGGGAAACCAGATTGTTAGAAATATTGTATTCTGCAGAAGGATAGGAGAATAGACGGAAAGATTGTTGATTCGCGGACAAGTGCGTCCGTTTCCTATTTGGGTCGGTTCCGGAGTGAGGCTTGAAGGCAGACACCGTATTGTTGTCTTTGTCCCACGGATTGAGATCAGTCTACTAAAGTGGGAATCTCGTTGGACGGATTGAGGTCAATCCACTGTTAGTTGAGGCCAGAATGGGAGAGACTTGCTGCGTGTGTTTGGGTGCGCATCAGTTACGTCTGGCAGCAGTGGCGGTCGCCCCTCCGTTTGGGCATGCCTCGAGGCACGCGGGAAAACTGCTTGATGCGAGGTCCTAAGCTCTGGGTGACCTCGTCTGTTGCTTCAAGCGTTAGGAGGGCGTTGGTCAGACAAGACCACTACAACTTCTTCCATCTATTCTCCGTTCCTTGTGCACACAATATACTGTTCCTACTACTCTGACCTTTCCAAGACTTCCTCTCTCCTAAGTAACCATGGTCTGAAGATCGCAGTTGCTAGGGTTTAACTTACGTAACCCCCTGCGATGAATTAACGCAGTACTCAGTGTTGAACTTTGACTGAAAGTCTCGAATGTAGTACGACTTGCCAGCTAATAATCTGTGAGGAAATTCCAGACGACTTTGTACTGGCTTTCCGGATATTTCTGTATCAGTCTGCTTAGAAAAATATTCCGGCGTCGCATATATCGCCATGCACGAAGACGGCAATATGTAATCCTGAAATTTTCCCAGGTCTTCTCCGTCGTTGTTGTGCGTTCGCAGAGCAAATATTCAGAGCAGTTAGTTTGCCGTTAAGTATGGAATTTGGGCGAGGAGTTTCTTGTGAGGCTGCCTGAAAAATTCCCACGCCCAAGTTCCACACGGATCTTTTTTGTTAAGTGGAAATTAAAGGGTAGAGCAAACCAGGGGCCATTTGGATGCTGAACAAATACGCAACAGTAAAAAAAAATTAAAAACCCTTGTAGCTGTTTCACTTAACTGAAAATGTAGGTGAAAAAGTTGAGGAAGGACAAACAAGGCCGAAAGGAAAACCATTAGAGCAACTCCTATTGGTTAATAAATGAAGCCTATAGACCAAGAAAACTATTAGAGC